ACGTCACACAGTGGAGTCTCTCTGATTGGTTGGCGCGGTGCGTCGAGCTGCAAAACTTCAGATTTTCTAACTTCAGCGATTTGCGCCTCAGTGCGTCGAACGCTCAGATCGTTCAAATCGTTCAAATCGTGCTGCTCTAATCGCGCTTGAGGCGCCGCAGCACTTCCCGACGTTGCTTGAAGCGCGTCCACCATAGACTTTGCATGTAAACCTGATGCTCCTGATGCTGAAATCACGTTCGGTGTGAACGCACCATAACTCTGTGCTTACATGCTGACATTCCCCTTTGACATCACTTCCTGTTTCTTCACCTATGAATATCTCAACAATGGTTCTTCTCAGCAGCGTGATTTTTTTGCTGTAATACGTTATCAGTGTTATCTTTCCAAACATTAAGTCAACGACACAATCTGGAGAACTGATGAGCCACTCACAGCGCTGCCTGCCAGCCGGACCTCAGGTACAGGTGACCTCTCTCGATGCGCTTGTTGTTAGCGAAGTGCATCCTTTTGGGGAGGTTTTCTTTGAGGTACGGCCTCATCGCTTGGTCCGGTTTCCTGCACTTCAGAACAGACACAGAGCAGAGGGAGGACTGGATTGTTTGTCACGAAGCCGAGCAAGCAGAAAATTCTTCATTCTCCTTGTCAACACAAAAAGTCAGTTTTGGAATAGCTCACATACCGACAGGTTCTTCACCAAACCTTCGTAGTCGACTGAGGAAAGAAGAAAAAAGAGGAGGTTAGACACTCTGTGGGGTTTTAAAAAGGTGTGAGGATGGAAAGCAGGTTTTTGCAGACGTGAACTCACAGGAGAAGTATTCCTCCGGGAGGCGTTTGGGTCTGATGCAAGCAGCTGGGCCCTGGATGATGTTGAAGTCAGACGTGTTTTCTTGGTAGTTTGACACAAACTCTCCTCGTTCACAGGACGCCTCCTCCATCCCTGTGTAAAGACAAAAAGGACACAAAATAAACAAGTCAAATAAACGAGCACAACACACATATACATTGTGTTATTTTTATCCATTTTAAATACACTAACCTCACTGTTTTGTAACAACTAAGACAAAAACTGAGCTTAGTAGTAGTTTTTAAATGTAATTAATGGGGTGCAACGATACAGAAAATTCCCGATTCGGTTTGATTCGTTAGTCTAACAGTTTGATATTTTTTTCGATACAAAAAAGAAAAAAGTCCATGCCCTTCTTAACTTGTCGTTTATTGAAATGAATTATGAGCATTTGTTTAACCTGAAAAGTACAGTTTTTAAATTTAATGTTGCTGAAACAGCAAATTTCTCAGTGGATCTGTGCTCCACAATGCAGCCTAGGTGGAGTAGTCGAACACAGATCCACTGATCCTTCAACACAGAAGACAAGTTGATAAAATCAATTTTAAAAATCTGTATAGACACATGTATTGATGCAACACCAGTAATTAATTAAGAAAATCCTTTCAGGACCACACCTGGATGTTTCGGGACCCCACAGTGGATCCTGACCCTAACTTTGGGAACCACTGCAATAGAGTGTCATGCAAATTGTCGACAACAACAACAAAAAAAGTTGAAGGTGTCATATTCAGCAAGGAAGCACCAGATATGTTTCATTCATCTATCTTCATGATGCTATGAGTTAAATTCGTATTTAAAACCAAAATGAATCAAAGGCCGAACATTCCTCGAAGGAATTCTCGGGATTCTCAGAAAGTGATTTGGATTTTCACGTTTCCAGCTCCACATCTGCTGAGAGAGTTTTGGGTGTGACGTGTGAACCGCACTTTGGTTTCTGGTGCTTCATGACAAACAGCAGAAAAAAAAACTACTGCAGTGAGTTCAAACATACTTCTTCTATAGGCAGGGATGTTTTTGTTGATCTCTGCTGGGCATCGCCCCGGCCACACACACTTCAAAACACTCATCTTTGTCATAATTACAAGGTTGAACTTATGGTCTACAGTTTGTTTTTTTCATTACAGCCTCTGGTCTGTAGTTTTCCTCTGTATCAGGTGCAGTAAATCAACTGAACTGAACATCAAAAGACCATAATGAGTTGCTTCACTGGTGCACATGGTATATAAAGATGATATGCCTCAGTGGTGTGAAACCACTGAGATTTAAATAAGATGCATAGAACTGCTTTGGAAACCAGGTTGCAAGATATATAATATTCCTACGTTTTAAATGATAGTACTGGGGTCTATACAATATATGATAGTCTTTAAAAAGCCCAAATATGAGCTAGTTTTGGTATTTCTATGCATCAAAAATAACCCTTGTTTTCAATCGTGTGACCACCCCCATACTATAAAAACGTCTGATCCAACCAGCCAGAGTGCACTGGCTAGGCTTGCAGCTCCGCCTCCTTTTCTGTGCACCAATCACAACACCTCATCTTACCCCACCTCCCTCACTGAGCGAACCCTCACTCAGCACATACTGATGGTTTTGGTCAAAAACAATAATGTGAAAAGCAATATTGAGTTATTTTGTCATTTCCTATCTGGCAACAATGGTGGGAAAAAAACAAACAAACAGGAAAAAAAACTATAAAAATGCGTTTATCTCACCGTGGTCAGACACGATCATTACGTTGACACATCGGTGGAGCTCTCTTGCTTTGAGGCCGCTCAGGATCGTCCCCATAATTCTGTTCACATCCTTCAAAGCTGAAATCACCTGAAGGAGCAAAAACTCTCTGAGGAGATTTATCATGTTTATGGGTATAAAGAGACAAAATTACTTCCATGATTCAAGCCATGTTTGTTTAAATAATTGAAGATTAACGTGTGCAGTCTGTACAAATTAGCGTTTCTGTTGATTTGAAGAAGGTTTTCAACACTACTGACTTCACCTTTCCCCTCGAAAAGTTGAACAAATATGGCATTAGCAGATTAGCACTACAGTGGGTATGTAATTTGAAAAATAGGAAACATTTCGTAAGATCTTAATTCTGTAATATTACATGTGGAGTTCCTCAGGGTTCTGTGCTTGGACCACAGTTGTTTATTTTATATGTGTATAATCTGGTTAGTGTGTCGGGGCTTTTGAAGTGTGTTTTAGATGATACAACTTTTTTTTGTTGGGTTGGAGATATTGAATGGATTTTGGAGACGATACAGGCAGAATTTGTGAAAATCCAAACCTGGTTTGATCTGACATTTTTAACATTACTTTCTAGGTTGTTCCATAATTTTATTCCTTGGATCAAAGTACACCTGGTAGAAGCTGAGTGCAAACAGATAATCTAAGTGTGACATCACATTAGATTGTGAATAACATTATATTAGAAATTTGACCAAACAACAATCCCTTTGATGATTTCAGTTTAAAACTAGATGTCCAAATAAAAATAAAATAAAGTTATTGTCAGTGGACTGACTGGATGCTTTAGTTTTAGTAGTTTTCCATAGAAAATGCTGCTGATATACTCTCCACATTTCTTTTTTTACCCTGTCAGTTATTCTGAATAATAAACAACCTGCCTTCGTCTGCAGGTTCAGTGAATAACTCACCTGTGGACTGTTGGGGCCGTGTCTATGTCCTGAAGTGTCAGGCTCCTCCAGGTACAAAGTGTAAAAGTCGGGTCTAAAATCAGAAACACGGAAGTTTATTCATGAGTTCTTCATTTCTGTATTTATAATAAAGAAAAGGCAGAACCTTTGGCTTTCGGGTAACTCCAGCCACTCAAACAGTGTCGACACTCTGGATTCAAATGAGACACTCCTAAATACACACAAACACACAAATACACACACAAACACTTCAGTTAGAAGGGATTGATGCTGTGATGAATTGCACCATATAGTTACATTTGAAAGCACAAGTGAGACGTTGTTTGTCACTCTTACCGGTTATACTTCTTGTAGATGTTTGGATGGCTGCCATTAATGAGGACGTCAGAACCTGGCCAGAAATAAGTGGCTGTTTTTAGCTTTTGCCGCATGGCGGTGATCCAGACCTGAAGGAGGAACAGAAAGTTTAAAAAAAGGAACTAAGATGAGGAAAGATGAGGGGGAGAATAAACATCTTGTTCCTTAATGGCGGTTCAGATGTGCAGAAGTGAGATTCTGTGGAAAGATTATAATATCCTGCTGTAGATGGTTCTTTTAATGAACTCAGTTTGGAAAAATTCTGCCCAGATTGATGAGCTATCAGCACGTCTGAATGAAAGTAAGACCAAAGTGGACATCTTCAAACAACTCTTAATGTAAAAAACCGTATGGGTCTGAAAAATGGTTTAGAAATCTAATATTTGACTCACTATTAGCCCAGCCTGGATGACAAATATAATATTTCTGCTGCAGGGAAAGTGCTACAGCTAGCTGCCGCTGTTATTTGTTCTTACATACACCCATACTCTCATAATGTCAAACTGATGATGAAATAAAGACTCATAAATGAGATTTTGCATAAACTAATGACATGACTACGTCCACTCGACACCGGTGCGCGTACAAACTCTGTTAGCGGCTCCACTGGTTTCAATCACAGCGCGCAGAGTTAGCTGTGTTCAAGCTTAATTCTTGAAAACAGCATCAAACTCCACCGGGAGGACCACAAAACATTGTGCTACAGTTCTTGTAACAGTGATTCAGGATACAGCCATCATGAAAGGAGTAATTTTTGTCACTTTTCCTAAGCTAAGATGCTAGCTAACAGCTGGATTGGAGCGATGGGATGAGCTGAATTTGATTGGGAAAAAAGTGCAACCAAAGACTTAACTTCAAACATTAGGAGGTAAAAGACCAACACTGGACCACCCGGATACTATCCCTGCAATTTCTGTTGATAAACAGTTACAACAACCTTATTGTTTTACTGTAGCCTACTGCTAGCTTTACTCATAGCACCCATGCTAGCCTCATATAACGCTCTACTGTAGTCAGTCACACATACGGTGTTAATATTACTACTTATACAGATTTTACGCCAATTGTCCAATCATTTGAAAGAACGGCAGATAATGTACGTAAATATTATGCACAACGTCACAAGTGGAGATCACAACTGAATCTCTTCAAATTTCTACCTACAACAGGTAAGATAGTATTTGTTCACAATCTTTAAATTGAGGGTTAAAGATCTGAACTAAAACACTTTTCTCCACACTTCATGATGTTACAGCTGATAAGGTACTTTTTTGTAACTACAGTATGGCTTCCAAAATGATCAGATTATCCCTTTAAGGCTTGTGATCAATCACGAAAGAGCTGCAGCAGACAGTCCATTAGGATAATCCCTGTAAGTGTAATCTGTCTACATCCATATCCATTAGACCAATCTAAAGCTTAAATTATTCTATTTATGCGGCAGGGCTGTAAGCATTTCTTGCCAGATGCATTTTTGGAATTTGGTTGCAATCCATCAGAGAAAAATTCAGCCCGGCACGATAAACATCTGCAGTCGTCTATCTCTTTGAACTTTCCTGGAAACACATTTGGCTGCTCGGCTGCAGGATAAACCTGCGAAAAAAGCCCAGCTTCCTCCAGTAGAGGGATGAGATTTAGGAAGCTGTCACTGAAACATGACCCAAGTCTATAATTATAACAAGAAACTCATAACTGGGAGAGAAAATTACAACATGACTTGGGAAGACAACAAGTGTTTTTTTTAATGTAAGTGCTGGTTTTGGTGCTGCGTTCACACAGATCCACTTACTGGTTCTCCCTGGTACCACAGCGGGTTGAATTTCTCATCGGTTTTTAAGCTGAAGAAGGCGTTTTGGCTCACATCGTACATATTGTTGCCCACGATCCCATGAGACTCTGGATAAAGACCCTGCAGGAGTTAGAGGCTGGATAAATTCAGTGTCACAAGAAGTAATAAATATACAGACAGGCCACACTTTTAGCTTTTTAACCTCTTCTTGGTTCCACAAAGTCCATTACAAACACTCTTATAGGTGCTTTTCTTAAACCTTGCTGGTACCCAGAAAAGTTTATTTAAATTGCAGGTTTTGTTTTCAGACAACAGAAGAGGAATTTACTGAGTTAAGTTTTCGACGGGATGTTTTTTTGTTTCTGTGCACATGTAAGCTATTAGGCCTCAAACAGAGCATTAACTGTGGAAAGAAGATGAGTCACTGTGGGCGAGAATAAAAAGAAAGCCCTTCAGTTAAAACTAACAACAGAGTTGGAAAGTAATTGTTTAAAGGTTTGTGCTTTAGGTATAAAACTACTTTTTGTTTCCATAGTATCAAAATATTTTACTTGTATGATCATTTGTTAACACTCTTTGAAAATTTAGCTGTACAGTAAAGTTTATATGACAGTTTTTAACTTCTCTGACTCATAATCCTGTGATAAAAACTCTTATCAAGATAACCGAGCTTTTAGTTGAAGATGAAAATTAGCTTTTGCACATTTACATACAGTAAATGTCTTCAATATTTATATTTTTATGAATTAAACTGAAACTGAACACTAATCAAAGAGACACAAATGTGGCCCACCATGGCATTTTATGTGGCCTGCAAGACTTTCAAAAGATGAATCAATGTTTTAAAGCCGGCGTTGAACATAAACTATATCTCCCACAATGCAAGTTGATTATTTTTCCATTAAAATGATGGCATCCCACCACTAGATGGAGGTACACAGGGTTCAAATGTAGTAGAAAATCTCCATTTCACTGCATTTTTCGACAAATACTTTTGCTGAAGCCCAATTTTACTGGGAAGTAGGAATTTCCCATTACAAGTTTTTGGTTTAAACAGGAACGCCCCTCTAGTGGGAATTTCTTGTTGGAAAGCTCAGAATTCAAGATGGCAGCTACTCACCACAACTCATCAGTGAGTAAAACCGTCTTACTTTTCCTTTTAATAGTATTTCTGTTTTATTTGTTTATTTAGTCGGTCATAGTCAGCGTTTTAAGAGGAAGTGTTAAAACACCGTCTCTATGCAGGAAATACCAGGTAGCGCTCAGGTATTGTTTGTTGGCGGTGCCTAGCTTGTCTGAAAACACTCACAGTCACGATGCTGTAGTGGTTGGGGAATGTTTTTGTGGGATAAACAGGTCTGATGTACGGCGCCGTTGTTCCAACGTTTCCTGCAGCACAGTGATAAAAAGTGACATTCAGATTCCGGGGTTAAAAACCCCTCAGAGACCCGAGGCGTCAAACACTTTTCTGTCTTACGGATCCTGCTGAAGACAGGAAGGTGCTCCTTGTGTTCTCTTAGATATTCTGACCGGAAACCGTCAAAGGAGATCAGGATGAGAGGAGACCTGGAAAAACTGGACAGGAAAAGACGTCTCATTAATAAAAGTTAAGGGTTGTTGTTTACAGTTAACTCAACGGTTCTGGTTCAGAGAGGACAAGATTAGGTAATCTATGTTGCTGACAGTTGGCAGCAGATTTAATTTAGGCCGTCTCAATTCATGACGGCGACTTTGGCCAACGTGGGCCGCTCCTGTTGGCTGCATGTTGGCTGTGAAACGGGGTGGTCTAGTCTACAGAAGATGTATACTTATGTGATACAGTTCCAAACTCCATAAAATAAAGTAAAAAAACTTTGCCATATTTGTTTTTAAGTATTTAATTTGCCAACGGCGCAATGAATTCTGGGATACCGTCAGCTGTGTAGGATACTCAGATGTATAAGTTTTCAGGGTTTTGTTGGCCGCATGAGTACGAACGGGACAGCCTACAGCGCGGGGCGACGACGTAAGCGTCCGACAAATGCGTCCGACGTCGGCTGCAGCCCTTGAAGTGAGGAAAAAGCCATAAAGTTCTGACAGAAAGTTTAGAAATAAGCCAACTATGAAGGACAAAGCCTAACTCTGAACCAACGAGCTGAAGGTAAACATGTTGAGACAGTCACACTCAACATGTCTTATTCTGCCCAAACCTGAGCTCATTTTAGTCTTCATCACATTTATGATGGTTATGCAACAGTTTCAGTTTTACAGATTTACTGGCCTCATGATGTGAAGGATCTAAACAGGATGTTTTAATATTCTGCTAGGATGTAATTTCCTTTTTAAATCTATAATACGTTTTATACAGCAAACATGAATGGTTATTCAGCTGCAAATTTCAGCCTCCTTATAATGAATCTAAATGACATCAGTTTTGTCTTTTCAGTGGTTCATACGTTTAAAGATGAAATCCATGTGGTAACTCCTTTTTGTTGGGAAATTGTATAAAATTTTTGCAATCAGCAGTTTCCAAATAAGTAAAACCCAAACTAAGCAGAAAAATATCTGTGGTCTACTACAAGAAATAATAAAATCAAACCCAGCTGAAGGAGCAACGAATTAGAAAAAATACAAAATAAAAGCACCAACCTTTTTTTATGGTTTTAAATAAAAAAAAAACAGCCACATTATTTTCCTTCTCACTGTGTGATGAGTCTGTCTGGATTTACGACACTCCCTGACCAAAGCTGCGACACACACACACACACATGCAAACACACACTCTACTAACAAACACACACAATGTACTAACAAACACATGCCTGATTAGTCAGTCATTAGCCCAGTTTCCATAGACACAGACACTTTTTTCTTAGAAAATGACACCATCGGAAAGAAAACAAGTGTCAAAGTTAGTTACACACGTTTAAAACACAAAGAAGACAGACTAAACTGTCACACAGACGTAAAAACATCACTTCTTTTCTTCCTGCTCACACTTTAAGGCTGAATTATAGCTTCAGCTCCAAACAGCTGCAGGACAAAAAGCTGAACTCTCAGCTTTTACTTGATTTCTCCCAGAAGAGCAGATAACCCATGATAAAACATGTGATCTTTAATTTTTTTTATTTTGTAAAAATGTTATTATTACCCAGGGGGACACTGCTTCTGATGAATTTCCTTAAAGTCTTCAACCTTCCAGGAATCTGTCAGAAAAAATTAAAATAACTGGTGAGAAACTCTGAGCTGAGTTGTAACATTTGCAATATAACTTATACAGGATTTAATAATAACTGAACATTTTATAAAGGATTAACAGTCATTTATAAAGCAGTAATAAAACATTGTTTATGCACTGATTAAAGCTCACTCTCTCATCATCTCAAGGACTGAACTTTGATTCATACATTAGTCAGTTTGTCTCAGTTTGATGACACATTTTTTTTCTGATAAATAAAGTTATTTAAGAACAGTTTAAACGCTCCAAACTCTCATGTTCCCGGAGCCGAAGAGTGACGTTTGAGTAAATTTGTCAGACAGTTTTCAGCTGATAAAGTAATTCTTTAATGATGGGAAAAGTTTCGTAACCTGCTAATAGCGTTAAACTTCTATTTTTATGTCATTTAACCTGAATTAACCAAAAATTATCTCCTCTTACAAGCAGTGCTGGACATGCCAGGTGTGTAGCATGTAGCGTCGTTAGCAGCTAAACTTCAAACTAAGAGCAGAAGAAATAAAATCTAAAATAAATCAATTACATTTAACAATATTTAATTACCACTACGTTCCAAATATGGTAGAGAAAGTATTTGCAATTTGACTAACTTCAAACTGTATTTATAAAAATGCAAATTCGATCAAAGAAATGCTTTTATTCTGAAAAGGTTCAACTAGAAGTGTCACAAGTTAGACAGAGCTACACGTTTTTTAGTTGTTTTAAAGAATGAATGCACCGTTCATTTGATATGTTTTATGTACTGTTTGTTGTTTCCCCTTCCCCATCTTCCCATTTTTAAGTGTTTTAAGTATTTCTGCACTCTCAGGCCAACATTGTAAATAAGAAACTGCTCTTAATGTTTTGCCTGTTGAAATAAAGCTTAAATAAAATAAAAATAAAATGTTTGGATTGGCTGATTTGCCACAGGTGATCCTACCCACCTTATAGAAAATTAACAGATTAGCGTTAGCTCTTGTTTAGTGGATTAGTGGTTAGTGAACCTAATGTTTTGGTTAGCTGTGCCCACCAGTGTTGTAACTGATTAAATGGGATTGTTCAGCCATGATTGTTTGAATAAACTCAGTTTCACTTTTTTTGTGCTTCTTGAAAACATCCATCTTCCATCTGAAGGCTTCTTCAGTTCTGATGATGCTTTGGGTGTTTCAGGGTTCTGTTGTTGCAACAATTAAAGAATCATGAAGAACAAACCCAACATGTTGATGTCACATTTCAGGGTGTGAATTGTGAAACCATCATAAAGTCTGCAGCGTGTGGACTGTTGAAACCTGAGACCGACCTCTGGTTCATGTGGGAGTTTTTGACTGTTTACAGTGCCGGACTCCTCTCCAACCAGCAGTCTTCTCTGTTCAGGACTGTGTATGTTGCTGTCTTTAAAGTGGAGCCTCTTCTTTTTGAGACGTAGCAGAACATTAGTGTGGCTCAGTTGCTTTTGCACAAAAGGTCTGAACTCTTTCTGCTGCACTGGACCGAACCCACACCACTCAGATGTTTGAGTGTTTTATCCATTTCCATTGAGCGGTTTCCAGATTTCTTATCCGTCTTGACAAAAGCCCAGTTCAGGTATGTGCAGGTTAGAGGTGGGTTCATGGTACGTTTGTGCTCCTTCTCCTAGGTTTATCCTCAGAGTTCTGATAATAATAGTTTACATTTCAGTGAGTGGTGAGTAGGTTTTCTATAAACTTCAACAAAGAGACTTTCACCTGTTTTAATTTGCACCAAATGGTTCAAGAAGGCAGCTAAAAGTTGGTTTGATTTTTGAGGTTTCCACCAAAATATCAGGTGGCTTAAAGGGGCAATATCACGTAAAATCAACTTTTTTGAGTTTTATATCATATTGGTTGTGTCCAAAACGGCAAGCCGGGTCCTCCGAATGCCGAATTCGTCGGCCGCATACGTCACAGCGCCGCGACGAAGGACGTCCCAAACCGAAGACTCCTCCGATGCGGCCGACAAATACATCCTTCCTTTTCCCCGATTTGAAGGACAGGTCCGATGGATCCTTCCCGGCCCAGCGTATCCCATAATGCATTGCGGCCCGACCGGAGATTTTTTTATGCTAGTAATGGCGGACGAAGCGAGAGAAAAGAATACGTTTTAAATTTAAAAAATATGGCGATATAAAAATTAAAAAATTTTAGCGGTTGCAATTCTAATACTTTTATCATTTGTATAAACGTGTTTTTAAATATTATTTTTATCATAAAAAAACGCGAAATAAACATGCACCTACAGCGGGTCAATTAGTTCTTCAAATGTTACCTTTAAGTTAATTTTATTGTTTTGTGATATTAATAATGCTAATATATTTATATTTTTCTAATTTTGATCTATTTTTGCTGCTGTTTAGCATCGTCATAGTTGCTAGGTGACATGACGTACGCCGGGGTGGAGGGGAGGCTAGACCGTCCAAATTCACAGCCTCTTTGTTTCCGGTCTTCCCGGTCTACCAAGGACCCGGCCCGCCTCGACAGGGTAGTCTGGGTCCTCCGGAGGACCCGGCCTGTCGTTTTGGACACAGCCATTGTTATCCTCTCATAAAAAACACACCCAAAGCCTTGCTTTGACTCATTCATGCATGTTTGAGAAATCCTGCAGCGTTTTTATGAAGCCATGCTGAGGAGCAAAACGACAGGTGGGGACCAGAAACAACTTTTGGGACCAGAAACGCTCCTGGGACGTGTCTTTAAGCCGAACTTCCTCATGGCAGAGCGCACCCCCTCCCCACACACCCCGCCCACGACTCCTGCAGGCTCTCGGGTGAAAGTGAAAGTGAAACCTAACTGCTGAGCTCTCAACATCAGTTCTCACTCCGTGAAGCTCTTTTCAGATTAAAAATACCTTTGAGGAAATGTATTTTCAAATGCCAAATAAACTGCATCATGACAGTATTATGAAAGATGCACGGTCCTGAATAACAAGTAAACAAGAGTCTGGGGGGAGAGAGAAAAAACTCAAGACATATTCTTCCCATGTGGCTTTCATGTCGACTGGGCAGGAAGCGTACCACAGCAGAGGGAGCACCCCGCCCTGGAGACAGCTGCCCACATTCACCACGGCTGTCCCAGAAAAACCAAAGAGGGGTGTTTTTAGCATGGCACTTTCCAACAAACAGCATACTGATGCTGCTGCCTACGTTTAACCAGAGGGAATGCCGAAAACATTCCTGTCTCATGAGGAAAAAAAAAGGTTTTTCTGACACAAATTGCAGCGACAACACAGAAAGTTAAGGGTTAACTCGAGACTTTCACCTCTAGCTCCTCAGTAATCTGACCCACCTCCAGTCCTTCCTTAAATACTCCCTGTTTTGAGTTTCCACACAATCTGTTGTGGGGCTTTGGCAGGATCATTACCTACTTTTTCCAATAACAAGGCACTTTTGTAGCTCCACAATGCCGCCGTGGTACTTTGATTATTATTTCACCCACTAACCACACACTACTGAGAAAAAAAAGAGAGATAACAACCTTAAACGAATAAATGCTCCAAACGTAACAAAGTAGCTGCTCTCACGCTGTAATAGCCAAAGTAATCACAGTTCATGCATTAAACCTAAAAGAAGAAAAACAAACATGCTGCTGCCTGGAATGTTAACACTGAAGTCTCAGAAGAACAAAGACTGGAACAGAAATCCAAAAGTAAATAGAAAATTAGGGTTTGTTTACCCATTTTCATGACATCATCTTTGGCACAAAGCATCTGATTTTCTCTCTAATAATTGGGTGTAAAGTTGATGTTTGCTAAAAAAATAAATGTTTAATTCTACTTCGTATTATACGAAGACCAATAGAAAGTATTTGGAATGTGATCATTTTGCCGTGCAGGTTTCTTGTTTTAGCTTCACACAAACAAACAAAGTAAACAAACAGCTCTCCTCGTGTAGGACTTAAAGTTGGTCACTTTGTTGTTTTTAGGTTTTATAAAACCAGCCTTGTCCTGTCCTGGTAATATTCATGTAAGGACTGAAGCAGCGTGGAGGTAGTCACAGAGCTGAAATGGTCAGTATGTGTGAGGGCGAGCCAGTGCTCTGGTTTGTTGACTTGATGAAATGATGTCAGAAAGTTTCAGCAGCTGTTTGTGGGATTCATTAGTTAGAGGAGTTTGTGAATATTAGTTGAGTAAGATTTAGAGAACTTGAACAGTTAATGTGATCAGCTAGCTTTAAAGGAACACAAAAAGAAAACAAAAGACAAAATAGAAGCTCTAATTATAAAGTCAAAGGTGGGTGGAACTTTACAAACTACAGTATGTGCATCTAAAACTGGTAAAAATGAGGTAATATAAAAGATTCACAGCTGTGTCATTAGAGTGTTTTTAGCTGCAGGACCTGGGGTGATTAAAGTTTTACTTTAACAGACATATGATGCTTTTAAATCCTTCAGAGTGGAACTGCAATGCTTTCATCTGAATCCCTCCTTATTGTAACTCCACAAGCCCCTCTTTCACTTATTTTTCTGAGATGTGTCTCAGATCAACTCGTTTTGATGCTGTCTCTTTAAATCCTAACGAGGTGCTTCAAGCTCCGCCCCCCCTCCAGCTTTCAGAGCAGTCCATTCTAGTTTGATAGAAGGGTTTATGACTATATAGCTGCGCAGAAACATTATTAAATGAATTAAAAGATGTCAACAAGGGAAGACTTGTTCATCCAGCCTTATGTGTTGCAGCCAGAGTCTGACCCAGAACCAGAGTCTGACCCAGAACCAGAGTCTGACCCAGAACCAGAGGAGATTGTAGTTGGTAAGTCCAGACCTTATTTAGCAGCTCCGTCACAAATAAATTGGTGTAATAGTTCAGAAATGTCATAAAAAACAGAGAAAAGTGAAGGGTTGAAAAGACTAAATTCAACTTTTCTGCCTCCTAAAGCTTCAAGGTTCACAACAAAATCCATTTAATGTCTAAAAATGTGGATTTTACATGACATATCCTTTTATATTTAAAGGTAAAACTGAATTATAAACCCTCCCATGGTTTTGAAACGATGGCTTATTCTGTAAAACAGTTTTTTTTAAATGGCTGCACAGACCAGTAAACTTACCTGTGTCCTTCGTCTTCACTGAAATCACTACAGCCAGCAGGACGATCAGCAAGACCAGCAGCAGGATCTACATTTTTAACAAAAAAATAACAGTTCATCACATAATTTATCAACTAGCAACTTATTTATCTTCAGGCCGAAAAACCCCCAAAAAAACCTCCGTAATTCATTACAATAAAGTTGGTTCAGTCTCCACTCTCTGAAGCCTAAAGATGTCAGCAGCTGTATGATGTAAGAGGAACCTCAAACATTTTAAATGTAAATTCAAGATGGCCGCCGCAGCTGATCAACATTCGCAACACAAACGAGGCTCGGTCAGTTTTACAGAGTCGTTCACAACAAACACAACTCTGATCTGAAAATCATACAAGATTTTAGGCTTTGACTGAAACTCAAGACGGCGGTGGGTGATGTGCTGCGGATCCCCCCACATCCTCATCTGTGAAAAACCAATCAAAGCTCTGCTGAGTTCGTGTCTGCTCGCAGATTTGTAATTAGAGGGGCGTTTCAAAGGAAACTGCCTCTGAAAACAGTTTACATCAAGGTGGGAGTGGGGGTGGTCCAGCTGTGACTGATAACTCCTAAAAGCTGCCTTTAGTACGTAAACAGCTGGACTTTAAATATTGTTTACAACAAACTTAATTTGTGTGAATTTTCCATCATTTCATCAACCCTCAGGTTGAAAAGTCACTTTATGTGTACTCGTTACAAGTTCTAATTTTCTCTTAGAAACAAAAACAATGCCTTCATTTTATTTTGAAAGGCACAAATACGACTTTTTTTAATCTTACGAAGTTAACGCATTTCAAACCATCCATCCATCCATTTTCTTCCGCCTATCCGGGGTCGGGTCGCGGGGGCAGCAGCTTCAGAAGGGAGGCCCAGACCTCCCTCTCCCCAGCCACTTCTTCCAGCTCCTCCGGGGGAACTCCAGGGCGTTCCCAGGCCAGCCGAGAGACATAGTCCCTCCAGCGTGTCCTGGGTCTTCCTCAGGGCCTCCTCCCGGTGGGACGTGCCCGGAACACCTCACCAGGGAGGCGTCCAGGAGGCATCCTTACCAGATGCCCGAGCCACCTCATCTGGCTCCTCTCAACGTGGAGGAGCAGCGGCTCTACTCTGAGTCCCTCCCGGATGACCGAGCTTCTCACCCTATCTCTAAGGGAGAGCCCAGCCACCCTGCGGAGGAAACTCATTTCGGCCGCTTGTATCCGGGACCTCGTTCTTTCAGTCATGACCCAAAGCTCATGACCATAGATGAGGGTAGGAACGTAGATCGACCGGTAAATCGAGAGCTTCGCTTTCTGACTCAGCTCTCTCTTCACCACGACGGACCGGTACARCGCCCGCTTTACAGCAGACGCTGCGCCAATCCGCCTGTCGATCTCCCGCTCCCTTCTTCCCCCATTCGTGAACAAGATCCCCAGATACTTAAACTCCTCCACTTGAGGCAGGACGACCCCCCTGACCCGGAGAAGGCACTCTACCCTTTTCCAGCTCAAGACCATGGCCTCGGATTTGGGGGCACTGAGCCTCTTCCCGGCCGCGAACCGCTCCAGCGAGAGCTGCAGATCTCGTTCCGATGAAGCCAACAGGACCACATCATCCGCAAAAAGCAGAGATGCGATCCTAAGGCCACCAAAACGGATCCCCTCAACACCTCGGCTGCGCCTAGAAATTCTGTCCATGAAAGTAATGAACAGAATCGGTGACAAAGGGCAGCCTTGGTGGAGTCCAACTCTCACCGGAAACGAGCCCGACTTACTGCCGGCAATGTGGACCAGACTCTGACACTGGTCGTACAAGGACCTGACAGCCCGTATCAAAGGGCCCGGTACCCCATACTCCCGGAACTACTCAAACTATTAATTTTTTTATTTTCTGGAAGCTTATTTAGGCAACGTGTAAAGTTGTTTGGTCATTTCGCTTTCATCGAACCTCACTAATCAAACATTTCCTCAGTTCAGTCAACTAAACTCACAAAAACAGATGTGCTGGATTAACTTAACCAGTGTTGTATAAAGTACCTCAAAGTGATACTTGAGTAAAAACTACAAGTATCTTATCATAAAAATACTTTGGTAAAAGTTAGTCTTCTTTAAAAAATTTTACTTGAGTAAAAGTCGTAAAGTATCTGATAATTTTTGTACTTACATCAAAAGTACATTTTTGACACAAAATCTACTTAAGTATTAAAAGTAAAAGTACTGAGTAAAAGTGAGCAGTTAGATTTTCCAAAATGACATTTATTGGGAGGTGACTTCTCCAAAAAACATATTTTCTAACAGCGTGCAGCTGTGATGGGTTGTGTACAAAGTTATTCAGTTTCAGAGTGGTATATATATTTATACTTCTCATTCAACCACAGTTTAATTCACTCTATCCAGGAGACACAATTTATCAGGATAGTATTTTTTTCAATAACAACTTGGAGTAAAATAGGAGTAATGACTTTCTACTTCTTACCTTTTTAAAAAATGTAAGGAGTAGAAAGTACAGATAATTGTGGAAAAATGTAATGAGTAAAAGTAAAAAGTACGCTGAAAAATAATAAGTCAAATACAGTACAGATAACTAAAATTTCAAATTAAGTACAGTAACAAAGTATTTGTACTTAGTTACTTTACAACTCTGAACTTAACCAAGTTACATTAACTGGATCCACTCAGCGTAAACCTAAAGCAATTTTCATGTTTGCTTTAAAAGTAACTGAAAGTTTTTTGTCCTTTTTGCCCTTTCCCAAAAAATATATATATAAAAAGGTAACTGAAAGGTGCTTTAGTTGCAGGAATAACCCTTTAATTATGTCTCCTCTTTGAAAAGCAAATGTGTTTTTTGAGTGCATCCTGTTACAGAAATGTTCATCTCCAATATATTAATGTCTTCTGCCTCTTTAAAGCTTTAAATTTGAGTTTTTATTGTTTCAAAATAAAATTTAAACCGATCGTTCCGATGTTTAGAAATTGGTTTTAAACAATATCTTACCTGTTGCAGATGGAGCGCTCTTTCGGCTCAGGGAAAGAGTTTAATTCTGGGTTGTTTATCTTAAAACGAGTCGACTCTCGAAAACTTCACGATGGTTTAACTCTTTACATACGAACAGACAGGAAACCTGAGGGGTTTATTTTAGGGCGAGCGTCGTGTGTTTAGAGGGCTGCGATGAACGTAAACAACCTGTCTCGTGAAAACCTACAAGTCTGACTCAGTTTATGAAAGCCTTCGATTCTTTACACTAAAGGTGAAAATGAACTTAAATAAAAGAAAACCTGCAAACTCTTTTGAATAACAAACCTGGTTGTGAGTTTTTCTTTTAAGGTCGGTGTTGTGGATTAATCCGTGTTACACAGAATTGTATCCTAACACATCACAGCTTTGTCTAGACTTTGGCTCTTTGGTGTTCCCGCTGTGCCAAAAAGACAACATCTGGTTCCTGTGGTTTCTAGTTGAACTTTAAACAGAAACGAACACTTTTGACAGTCAGATGAGCTCAGTTTATATGTTACACATGATGAAATCCATGTTTACAACCACAAGTTTGGGGGAAAAAAAGGGGGATCCATTTTATTATCCAGAATCCTTAACATTTACTATTTAACATGTGCTTCTTTTAGAAATTAATTCTTGATTTGATGTTTTCATTTTTGTTGCTTATGTGTAATTATGTTTTCTGTTTCATTTTATTCTTTCCACAATTTTATACTGCTGTACAGCACCTTGTGAATATATTTCTGTGAAAGGCGCTTTATTAATAAAACTTTACTTACTTTTTGTGTTAGAATGTTTTACACTAAAGTTTAGCTGTCAAATAAATCTATTTTATATTGTTTAACTTACGTTTCGATCAAAAAATGGGAACATTTGTAGCTTTTTCTGGGTCTTACATGGACAGAGCAGCGTAACAGATCAAGTGTCCTCACTTAATCCTCCTCAGTGTTTACTCCAACATATTTATGTGCCAGATAGCTGTATATATATATTAGCTGTATGGGAGGCCCAGAAACTACATGCAGCGTGCAGGTCCACCTGCAGAGCCTCTCCTGGCCTTGGTCTCTTTGCACCGGGGTGAAAACACTCACATTTCCACGCTCACGCTGGCTCCACTGGTCTCAGCTGTGTGACAGCTGTGGATTCATGACAGGCAAAGCAAACAGAGGGAAAAATGCTGACATGAAGCTGTGGCTTTGGTACCTCACGGTGATCTTGTTTCAGCAGAAAGTGAAGCTGCAGTAACTCATCGTTGTCTAATCCCATTTACAAAAAAAAAAAACCCATCTAGTCCTGCTGAAATGATTCACAAAGTCCAAATTGAAGGTACATTTCATTTCCTTTATAGAAAAGAAATGTAAACAAATATACTGTATGTTTTTAGAAGTGTTGTATTTTTTTAAATTCAGTAATTTTAAGCTTTGCATTTTAAAAATCAGAAGAAAACAGCACGTTTAATCCTTATACACATTTTACAGCAATAGGAAGTTGCAAAATATGGTAATAATAATAATAATAATAATAATATAGCAGAAGTTCACAAAAACTTGTGTTTTTGTAGATTATTTCTACAAAAACACAAGTTTTCTTACTTTTTGTGCTAAGTTTATGAATTTAAAGTTAAATAAAAGGAATCAGAGCAAGTTTTCCCTGACCAAAAAAAGTAAATATACTAACTTTAAACTAAAAGTAATACTATCAGTTTACTTTAGATGCACTTAAAGTTCATGTTACTTAATTTACTTAGTAGATAAAAGTACTTTACTTAATGACAAGCATTACTTCTTTTTGGTGAGGGTTACGAGGAGTTTCTTCCAGTTTTGTAGCAGTGAATGAACCTGAGCTGTGCAGAGAGGCTGGTGTTGGAGCAGAACTTACCCCAGAGATGATTTTACAGATGTTAATCCGCTTCTTCCTCCGTGCAGCTGCGCTCCTCTGACTCTCCATCTCGGCTGTCCCAAATAAAGAGGCCGCCTGTTCAGCTGAGCGCTCCTCTCCTTTGGTTCCCTCCATGCTGCGGCTGCTGCTGCTGCAGGAACAGTTTTCCAGGAGCGACTGAGCTGCAGCAGGAGTCCCCCCCCGGTGAGCAGCAGGGCAGAACCCTGTCTGCCCCCGGCAGCAGCTCACAGCACCGCCCTGTTTTCACAAGTTTGCAGAGCAGCAACACGTTTAAAGGTTGAAGGGAGGAGTTTGTGTTTGACATGAACGTGTMAAAAAAAAAAAAAAAAAATCAGGAGTACAGACCTCAGCGTTGTGGCTCATTTCCCAGAAAAGTCTGTTCAACTGAAAAAACTAGAAAAACAAAAGAAAACTTTTAAAACATATTTTGATCGAATTCTGAGAAACAAATGGATATTTTCTGGAATTCTACAGTTTGGAAATGGTAGAAAAAAATTTAACTTAACGATTCTCAGCTATAAAACAAGAATAAAAGACTAAAACTGTCGCTCATGTCGCTCATTTTTAAAAGCGCATTTGTCGCCCTCTGGTGGTCAAACTAAAACACTGCACCAAAATACAGCCACACAGCTCTGAGCTGTTTTTTTGTTAATAATAATAATAATAATAATAATAATAATAATAATAATAATTAGAATTAGAATTAGAATTAGAATTAGAATTTTGTTTATTCCAGTAAAAAAACAAATAAATGAGAAAATAACTTTACTGTCTTAACATGAGATGATAGATAGATGCCAAAAACTAATCGATTAATGTTTTTCTGATGATTAATTGCACATGATACGATTATGCCCAACCTAATAGACAGACAGACAGACAGACAGACAGACAGACAGACAGACAGACAGACAGACAGACAATAATGTGGTTTATTAGAGAAAAGAAGTGCATCATAATTGCAGCAAATAAAAAAATCTACATGCACAAAAGGACAAACATGGATGATTGAAGACAAAAAATAATATTTAATTTACAGGATTCCTGTTAGCTGGAAAACTAAGCTAAACAATATTCAGACCACCAAAAACGCTGATGTAGCATCATAATAACTGCGACGTGGTGCGAATGTGACATTTCTCAGAGAAAGTCTCAGTAAACCAGGAGTCTGTGAACAACACACAGATAAAAACACACAATGACTCTTTATCTAAACAAAAGAACAACAAAAGGAGTTTGAAGAGAGAACTGGAGGCAAATCAGAGGCAAGAATCCGAGCAGGGCCTTTATGAATAAATGAGAAGAGGTGATGAGAACAGCAGGAGGAGCGTTTCAACAAAGGCTGGAAGGAAATCTGACAARTGAGAAAAACAAACTGTGTAAAACAAGAGAGGAAAAGCCACAAATACATCAAAAGACCTTTTATATTTTATCCCTTCTGCAAAAACATTTAGTGACCTTCCCAGGTTGGAGACTTTTTGTCAGCTTTTTAAATGTCAGCATGTAAACAAACACGAGTTACTGTAGAAATCAATTCATAAAACCCTCCACAGGGTGACGCTGTTGTTGTATTTCTGAACTGTTTCATCTTCTATTAGTTTTATGATAATAAGCAGCGCTTTAAGATCATTTTACTCCTAATCCCTGCAGCTTTAATAAACTTCAGCTCTGTGAGGTCAGGTTTTTAAATACATCTGTAATCCTTGGATTTGACCTTTGACCTCTGACGTCTGTGTAGTCTTCTTTAACACCTTCATGATTAAACACAACATTTGTTTCTCTTTGTCTCCCAGTGAGAATTAGATGTAGATGTCAGAGTGTGTTTTTATGTCTGCATGTGTGTTAAAATGGACATGTCTCAGCGCAACACCATGTCTAATTTCCATAACGTTCAAAATAAGACAGATAAATGAGAGTTTACTTTGATACAGAGGGGAAACTATCCGTCGGATAGTCGAACCTCGGATTCAGGAAGAGCAGTGTGGTTTTCGTCCTGGTCGTGGAACACTGGACCAGCTCTACACCCTCAGCAGG